AATTTTATAAAATCTTATAATTTTTAAATTTTACTAATTAATTATATAAATATATTTAGATTCAAACTAGTTTGCAGATTTTAGACTAAATTTAAATTAAATTTATAATTAAGTTTAAGTTTAGTTTAAAGTTTAAAATTAATAAAAAGTCAAATTAACTATATATGCTTCAATTTTTGAAATTGTACTAAACAGATATAAATTTGATATTTTTTTAATAGCTAATAACTCGTCTGTTTTTAATAAAACAACTATCAAAATGTTTATCTCAATAAGATGATTTCAACAAATCTAAAAATAAAATACTTTTTACAACTTCTTGAATTACAATAATAAACTACTATCAAATTTACTCTTTCCCAATATTTCAAACTAAAAATCTTTAAAATAAAATTATTTTTAAATAAAATTATCTACAACTCTTAATCTTTATACCCACAATCTAAAACACTACCCTAATCCAATCTAACAAAGATATAAAACCCAAGCTAAAATAAACAGCTAGTGGCTAACCTGCTTTGCAAACACAACACCAATTAAACAAATAATTAAGAAAACAATTATCAATTCTCTAAAAAAGCTCCAGACCAACAATAATACAAACAAAAAAGATCCAACCCAACATAATACCAATCCCACAAGTAAAAGATATCAACAATAATCTTATTGATATTCTGATGATTCAGCAAGTTTCTACTATTAACCAAATCAAATGCAACAAAAAAACAACAAACAAACTAGCATGCTTAATACAGCAAAAGAATATATGAAAAGATATAGATCCCCAGATGTCAAACAACAGCGCATAGCTCCAATACCGATGCAAATATCCAGACCACAAGTTACAATGATGGAACACCAACCAATGTTACAACTAATACAAGATATACAAAAACAAGCAAGAATACCAAGGCACGCCAAAGGTTAAATAAATAGACAAACCTTTTCGCTCACTATAGCACATCGCCCAACCACATCACAGAAATCATCGACTAAGCAAGGCTTCGGCCCCTTTTAGCAAAGTTTGGGTCATGGGTAAACTAGCCCAAGCTTTAATTTTCTGTAGATAGTTTATGTAACACATTTGTAATATACTACATATCAAGAAATCAATAAAGAAAATTGAGGCAAGACCTCACTTTTTTTTAAGAAAATTAATAGGTCGATAATTAATCTACATAGCTTTTAAGAGTATACGCGTCAACTTAATTATTATATACTTTGATTTACCCTGACTAATATTTATAGTCTATCAATGCCCCTATGGCTTATATTGCCAGATCAGTACTTGAATATAAAACTACAATAATATTTTAATTTCAAAAATCTGCAACTAATTTCGGATTATTTGTTAAGGCGGGGGGATACACTATTGAGACAATATATAATATATATAATACTTGTGTACCCAGGTATAAATCACCGCCTAAGGGTGCGTACACGCCATGGGGATACGATATTTTTTTATTGTTTAACCATATATATATATATATATATATATATATTGATTTTTTTTACCATGTTCATTATTTTTATTATTTAACCAAATATATATATCGATTTTTTTACCATGTTCATTATTTTTATTATTTAACCAAATATATATTGATTTTTTTTTTACTATTTAACCAAATATATATATTGATTTTTTTTACTATTTAACCAAATATATATATTGATTTTTTTACCATGTTCATTATTTTTATTGTTTAACTATATATATCTATATTGATTTTTTTTTATCAAGTTCATTATTTTTATTATTTAACCATATATATCTATATATATCTATATTGATTTTTTTTATCAAGTTCATTATTTTTATTATTTAACCATATATATCTATATTTATTTTTTTTACCATGTTCATTATTTACCATATATATCTATATTGTTTTTTTTACCATGTTTCATATTCGATATGTATATAACTTGTCAAGACTTATCTATGCATAATTTCTTAAAAATATACAAAATATTGAAAGTGTATTACCATTTAGGATCTGTACAAATCCGCAAAATATCTTCATACGTATCAACAAATCTATATTAAAAAATTAAATTATTCCTTAAATAGGTTTTCAAGAAAATTTGCTAGGAATTTTAAATTGTATTTAGAATTTTTTAAATAAAAAAAAAGAAATTAATCATAGGAAGTATACAATATTTATAAAATGAAATATATTTTATTATTAATTTCGTTGAGAAACTTTTTTGCTTTTATTAGTAAATAAGTTTTTGAAATACAATCAACTCGTTCTAAAACGAACTGAAGATTCTGGATATAATTTAATAATTAGGATCAAAGATAGTATAAGAGGACACCTACTCTATATCAAATGATTTACCACAGTTAATTATCAAATTTTATTACCTTCAACAGTCCGAAATGATTATCAAATTGAGTTTATTACCTTCAACGGTCCGAAATGATTATCAAATTGAGTTTATTACCTTCAACGACTCTGATATGCTATTTCTCGATTGATCCTAATGTGAAGATTAATAATTTGTGGAGTTTGATCTTCTCTAAATACCCTAGATATATATTTTCAATAGGTTCATACAATATTGGTATTGAGATGTATAATAATGAACATAATTTGGAGTAATTTGGTGTATTTGGTACGTTGGTCGATCATAAATCGCGCGAAAATTTTCAAATTTTCGCGGTAATTGATGATTAGATTTCCAGCACCTTATTTGTGGAATTTTTATATAATTTACTATGTTTTCGAACCTCAACTTCATAGCGAATATTATAGGCTGGTAACATTAAGTACTATATCATCAAAGTTTCGAAACACAATATTGTACTTATACAATTTGATATTGTTGAATTGGATTAAACTGAGTTACATTTACTGTTTGCCACTGTATACAGTTTCCCCCAAAAATAATACCCCCTTGATTAAGACCCGGGTATTACTCACCATCCACCTGGCTTAATTCTTGAATAGTACCCGGGGTATAACTATATGAATTTATTACTGTTCATATGATATATCTCCCAAATATAATACCCTGTTCCTCACACAGTACCCACGGGTACTATTCAATTTAAAAAATGAAGTTCTTAAATAAGACCCCAGGTACTGTATACAGTGGCAAACGGTAATATCTTTTTTTAAATATAGTATTACATAACTACAATGGTTATTGATGGGTCAATTATTTTAAATGTATTATCTTGACAATCTATTTTTGACATCATTTTCAATGATTTTTGAGATGCATTAATGACCAAAGAGAAAAGCATAATACAATGTAACAGTGATATCAATAATCAACGATCAAATCCACTTTTCAAATTATAAAAAAAAAGAAATCCAAATGCTTTCAAAAAAAGAGATTGCACCATGTCGCAACCAAAAATATTTTTTGCCAAGATTTTTGTTTACCTAATCTTGTTATTAGTAACCATTCACAATACTTCTTCATTCACTTATTACTATCCGATCAAGAGATCTCTAATTTTTTCTCAAAATGGAATCAATATACCGATAACTAATAAACGCCAAGCGGTTACTCCATTACCAATTGCAGTGGGACCGACCCTTTTCAGTACACAAGAAAAACTTGTAGCTACAGTTGATGCAGCAGAAAGTCACTCATCGCAAATTGAAGCTATTGATGAAGAAGCTTTAGCAACAAACCTCGACAACGAAGAATACAATATGTTTGCCATTTCTTGAAGAACTTTTTTTGTAAAAAATAAGTTATCGAAATACGTGTGTAGAAAAACTGGCATATTGAAATATTAAGTGTAAGTGGTATTAATTAATTAAAATCTATACGTATTTAAGAATCTATATTTAAGGAAATCCATATAGTAGTTGCACATTGGGACTGTGTACTCAGCATTTACAATCTTTGTTAAGATTACACCTTTGTAATTATATTTCATGATTATCTCTATAATTTAATTATAAGCAACTACTATAAACAATCCTGCCATTAAGAAAAAAAAAATTTTCTTTGGATACCATGTGACAGTAATATAAACAATTTAAGATAAATTCAAAAATCGGATGGTTTCAAAATTCACATTATAGAAGAATATAAAAGAAAAATAATTGGATTAAAATTAACATCATGAAATTTTACAGGTTATCCAGGACTTTGGGTAGGTAGTGAATATATTTAGATCAAACAATCTACAAATATTTAGTAAATTAATGAAAACTATCGCAACCATACACAAATTTTATGAATCGCCTCGTATCGGTATAA